GTTTAATAACTTTTTTTATATCTATGTTATGATTATAACATAGATATGCATGTATTGCCAAAGCACAAGTCTCTAGTATTTGAAATACGCCTTTTACAAATGTGAGGGTGAGGGGGTGAATATAGGGGTGGAGGGTAAATTTCAACAAAAACCGAAATTGTATAAATTGCATATAAGCATACATTAAAAATTTGAAAACTCTAGCAATAAAGATGTAGAAGATATAATTTTATAGCTGGTTTTCGATAAGGTCGATAAAATTCGATAAAATCGATAATAAAAAAGATCGGGATGAGTTATCGATTTTTAATGATAAACTCGATATCCGCGCTGTAATTACGAACATTTAAAAAAAAAATTTGAAGTCTCTAGCTCTTATATCTTCTGAAATCGACGCGTTCATACATACGGACAGACGGACAGGGCCAAATCAACTCAGCTCGTCACCCTGATCAAGAATATATATACTTTGTGGGGTCTGCCACGCCTCCTTCTGCCTGTTACATACATTTCAACAAAACCATTATACCCTGATTTCCCATTGAAAATGGGTTCAGAGTATAAAAAGTTCCACATACATATGCACGGCACATTTACTAAATAATAAACATATTTTGCAAAATTAGTTGTTTTGCTTTGTGTCCAAGCAGCTGAGATCGTAACTAGTATCAATAACTTTTTCGATAATTATCAGCGGCCGCCACAATTTCGTGACGATAGTTTTGTACGATCAGAATTAATCGTAGTTTAAATAAATAGAAAACAGGTTTTTAGTCTTGTTTTTTTGGTTTATTGTTAAAAGGAAATCTTCCGAGCTTAATAATTTAATTTAATTGTTTAATTTACCCTAATTAAATTTATTAAATTTTCTCCATTTTTTGTTTATTTGCTTAACAAGACAATTCCTTTTTCAATTTCTTTTTCAATTTCCTTGTTCTTGTCAACTGCATTACTCTGTTCTTTGTGTGACTTTCTGCCTCTGTAACTTCTAGTTCCGCCTGCTAACTTCTAGTCAGCTTTCATGTCTGTCGTTCGGGTCGAGCGCAACTTAGCGTACCAACTTCGCGTTTGATTAAACGCAGCGCCTCTGCATCACCCGTTCCGTCCGGGAAACCGCAGACAACCAGCACTGTCAAGCGTAGTCCAGTCGTCACTCGATCCAATCCCAAGTCCGCAAGTCCGCTATCAAAAATGTCACTGTCCGATTTCATCGCGGATAGGCTTATTAAATTTGAAGCCCGTATTGACGGTCCCGGAGATTCTAACGCCACCCAGGCGGCTCTGCTCCGGGCCTTCGAGATCCGCCGAGATCGGGTCAGGGCCTCGTGGGATGATGCTGAGCAGCAATATAAGGTCTGTGCCAGAGCGTTGAACCAAGGGGCGAGCAGTGGCGAAGTTGAAGCCATGGAGGCCAAATTCGACAACTGCTACACTGTGTATGAGCGGTGTACGACGCACCTGGGGGCGCAAATCGACGCACTTTCCGCATCGAGTACAGCGCCCGCTCCTATGTCCGCTACTTTCACCTCGTTTGGGTTTGGAGGCTGTCGCCTTCCACCCGTTGATACGGAAGTGTTCCGCGGCGACTACTTGCGCTGGCCAACATTCCGCCACCTTTTTACTGCGATTTATATTCAGAATCCGCGCTTGACTCCGGTGAAAAATTATTCCACCTCAATTCAAAGACAGCAGGCGATGCAAATGCCTTAATCGCAAAGTATCCTCTCACAAACGACGGCTTTGCATCGGCTTGGGGCTCCTTGTGTGTTCGGTTTGAGAATAAGCGGCTTTTAGTCAACAGCCAGCTTAAAATCCTGCTCAACCTCTCCAAAGTCACCAAGGAATCAATCGAGCAATCGAGCATGCTCAAATCTCTACGGAGAATTGGGACTGTATCCTTGTGTTCGTGTGAGCATTCACTGACACAAAAAACAGAAATTCCAGCCTGGCAGGACGTTAGTCACTTTTATAGCGTGCGTGCTCTTGCTCTCGAGGCTATGGAAGGTGATCGCTCTGCACCAACAGTTCCAATCTTAGTTCCGAGATGCGCGAACTCTGCCCCTCCCAAGCTAGGCAACTCCTTCAAAACGCAAGTGAATCTGTGCGATCAGTGTTCAAAACAGAACCATCCAATCCGATTTTGCCCTCGGTTTTTCCAGCTCTCTATCCATGAACGAGAGGCATACATCAAAGCAAAGAATCTTTGCCTGAACTGCTTCGCTAAGGGTCACCAGTTACGAGAGTGTACCAGCACGCACAACTATTTAAAGTGTAATGGTCGACATAACACCCTACTCCATAGGGACAATACTCCTCGGACTGCTGCTGCATCCGCAACAGCTATAGCCCCAATTCGTACGCAAGTTATGCCCAATGTCCAAACGTATCTGGCTGCCAACACGCGAGGTGTTCTCCTCGGCACGGCGGTGATCAACATATACCATTACGGAGCAATCTATCCCGTCCGTGCTTTAGTCGACTCAGGATCCGAAGCAACTTTCATTTCTGAGCGACTATTCCGCAAAATCGAGTTGCCCTTCAAATCCGTGCAGACTCAAGTTTCCAGCTTGAATCAAGCAGTTACAGCTCATGCACAAAAGCTATGCAGCTTTGAAATTGGTTCTCCATCGAAGCCGAGACTACGAGTCGAAGCTTCTGCTCTCGTCCTTTCAAAACTTGCCGGTAAACTCCCTTCATCTCCAATTCCGCAACTCTTATTGAACCAGCTTCCGAATATTCAGCTAGCTGATCCCGAGCTCTACAAGAGTTCAGAAATTGATGTTCTTATAGGTGCGGATATCCTTCCGACTATTATTCAGGGAGGTTACCATCCAAATATCTGTGGATCTCTTCTAGGTCTAGAGAGTGTTTACGGTTGGGTACTGACTGGCCCACTTTCACGAACTTCACCGGAAATGGTCTCCTCCTTAACAACTCAAGTCTCCGTTCCGGGTGAGACGAAACTTGAGATTCCGACAACCTTGTCATCTCCTGTAACTCTTCCATCCCGAGTTCCGACAACACCACTACAAAAGTGAGGCTCGGTTTCAATGAGAGCCTGAATGATATTCTTCATTCATGCCCATTATTCCAACCCGATCCTCGTCCTCCTTGTGCTGTCGAACTAACCTCCATATTATGTTCTAATGAGCAAGCAATTCAACCTCCAACTCATTCTTTGTTCCAGATAAAGATGCCGTCATTAGAAAGCAGCAAGCCACGCGGTACCAATTCCTTCCAGTGCCGCGTGTGCCCAGGAGCTCACGGTCTCCGAAACTGCCAGCGTTTTCTGGGCCTTTCAGAGGCTCAGCACTCCGGGCAATCCTGCCGCAACAAGGGACGTTGCAAAACTAATGCTATACGAGCAACACAGCTTTAATCTAAGAAATAAAGACGAGGAAATTACAAGCCGGTCTTTGTACTTATTGGCGACGCCACACACTCCAACAATAATAGTGCTGATAGGGCAATTTCCAAAAATATTAATTTTTATTCAGCTAGGACATATGATTATCTTAGGGATGTTCTTAATTTAAGACTCCCATGTAAGAATAATCGATGGGCGATTTAAAAAAATTTAGTTCCTGGATTTAATCCAGAATTATTAGAAAATCTGCAGGGTATTGTTGAAAAAATGAGCGCCAATGGAAAATATGCCGTATTAGCCTGTCAGTATAATTAATTTCTTGACGATATACAGGGATGCAGGGACTAAGTTTTTAGGACAGCAAGTCTGTGGTTTTCTTGTTAGGGGTCTCTTTGAGAACTGGAATTATGTTTTAAGCTATACGGTTTCAGCTCGTGGCCAGGGTTGCCGTTTTGTCCTTTTTGCGGACAGATCTATCCTTTTTGAAACAGTGATTGCCGGAAAATTTTTGAAACGTCCCCTGTCCTGAAGAAATGCCTTTTTTTTTAATTTTAGCCTTTTTTTTATCCTTTTTAAATATTTCTGAGTCGCATATACAATTTGTTATTTTGAACTACATGGCATCGCTTGAAAATTGATTTTTTGGCTTCACCCATCACTTTTCAATGCGATGCAACCCTGTTTAAAAACGTGTAATCGATATCAGACCTATCGGATATTGCTTATTTGCGTTATAATTTTTGAAGCTTGATCATGCCAAAAGAAATTTATAAACAAAAGTTCCGCGATACGTGGATGAACGAATCGGAATTAAAGAATTGGATGTGTCGGGATCCCAAGGACCCCTACAAGGCATATTGCAAATATTCAGTTCAAACCTCTGGCAAGCAACGTAACTTGCAGACAGGAAGCGGCACTTGCACTTTTTTGTGCACAACATTGCGCAATCAACACTGTTGGCCATTTGAGCGAGTTGTGTGGGTTGCAATTTGAAGCAAAAGATATAAAATTGCACAGAACCAAGTGCACAGGGATAATTAAAAATGTTTTGGCCCCGCACTTCGAGGAGGAGCTAAAAAATGATATAGGGGAAAGCAAATATAGTTTATTAATAGACGAGTCAACTGATGTTTGCATTAATAAGATGCTAGGTAAGAAACCATCTTTAGTACTTAAACAATTTTAATTATTATATTTGTTATTCAGGTGTCGCCATAATTTATTATAGCCATCAACGAATAGATGCATTTTCTGTTCAAAATATATTGCGAGCAAATAAAGACCCAATAATTCAAATATTGGAGTTATTTGCAGTCGATGCCGAAGAAATTGAGAAAATTGTATATCAATATAATACAGTTCACCTTGTCCAATGGAAAAATCAAGAGGATACCGTATCGTTTTCGACTGAGGTCAATAAGCATATGGATTCTGCGGGCAACAAACAATTTGAAAGTTTGTCTTTATTTGCAATAAATTTACTCTCGTTGCCATGGTCGAACGCCGAAGTCGAGCGGGTGTTTAGCCAAGTTAATTTGGTCAAAACAACGCTAAGAAACAGGCTTCACATTGATTAAATTCGATTTTGACAGGTAAGTTTTTATTTGTTAAAAAATATTTTTGTACATATATATTATAATAAAATTACAATTTCTTTTTGTATTCAGGTTCGGATTACGTCGACGTGGCACATGTTGCCAAAATTATCAACTTCCCGATAAATATTTGCGTATGATCGGAACAAATATTTATGAGACGGATGTTGATAACGAAACTTTTGACTCAGTTTTATATAATTTAAATGAAAATATATAAAAATTTATTGAACTTCTTTTGTTTTTTTTTTTTAAATTGTTTGTCCTGTTTTTTTTTGTTCTTTTTAAAAAATTTTGTCGGTTTTTTGTCTTTTTTTCTGGGCTCAACCGTCCTTTTTTTGTGTAGAGGCGCCGGCAACACTGCTCGTGGCATAAAACATACTGACTTTAAAAATAAAGTGGAGGAGAATATTGGACTATCGCAAGCATTGTGGCTTAATTTTAAAGCCATTGTTTGCGATCAGGGATCCAATAATACGGCCGTTTTTGATAGTATGGGCATAAGCATCAACAATCCTAGTTTTTCTGTTAATGATAAAGAAATATTTGCGATATTCGATGTACCAAATCTTGTTAAATCGCTAAGATATATTCTCTTAAAACATAATATTTCCACACCTCAGGACACAGTTTCATGGAGTATAATAAGAAAATTATATGAAATTGAAACTAAAAATTTGACGCGCTTATGTCCAAAATTGACTCCAAAACATGTCACTCCAAATTGTTTTGAGAAAATGAAAGAAAAATTTGTCACCTAAGTTTTTAGCCACAATGTAGCTACTACGATACACACAGTTGTAGATTCAGGCGGGTTTACTGATTGTAAAGATAGTGCTCTTGCAACAGCTATCTTTATTGAGAAAATTAATAACCTTTTCGATTGTTTAAACAGTACTATTTGATAGTAATCCTTATAGATGCGCACTTAGAAAAACAATAATGTCCATGAGTATCTTCAGGAAATGAGAGATTATTTTCATGACCTGAAGTATCCACAAAAAGTATATTGTATTGATAGGATGATTATTACAATCTCATTTATAATTGCTTTAGCGGAAAATATTTGGAATGACAGCAGTAATACTTTCTGTGTTGCCACATCCAAACTAAACCAAGACCCTTTAGAAAATTTATTTTATTTAATTAGAAGTCGAGGAGCAACTAATACTAATCCAACAGTTTTTGAATTTTATTCTATTATATCTAAAATGCTTTCAATGAAAATTTTGACATCTGCTTCTATATCTGGAAATTGTATTCCAGATGAAGATCTCATGTTAGCTAATATAATAAAGGATAGCGGATCTAACCTATCAGTATTTCATGAGCAGTGTGTTACGAATTCATCTGTAGAGCAAGACCCTCTAGATCCAAATATTGAATTGGTTGAATTGTCATTAGATGCAACCATTGCATATACTGAAAATGTTTTTAACGAAAATGCATTACGTTATTTTGCTGGATATCTTGTCTACAAATTACTACAAAAAACGGATTGCGAAATTTGTTCAAATCTTTTAAAATCATCGGATGAAATGCAGTGTTCTGAGTATTTGATATTCAATAAAAATGTTCATTATATAAATAGATATCTTAAATTGAAGGCCCCTTCTGACCATTTTTATAATTTGATAAAGCTGCATTTCGAAACATTTAGGACAATTTTCGAAAACAAACCATACATCGCTCGCATTAAAGAGAAAATTATTCTGTACTGCATGCACGCTACAGCAAAATCATCTTTAGATAAGGAATGGTTTTCCCCCACCCATCCTTGCTGACAGCATCGAAAATTTATTATTAATCAGTTTACTTTAATTCTAATTAGAAAAAATTGTAAATGGCAAACTGAGAAGATTGTTGGAAAACCAACATCTATATATATAAAAGGGAGTTGTGTAAAAGTGTATTAGCACTTAAAACTCGAGATCTGCTGGACCAATTTTCATGGTTTTTGATTTGTTGGATTTGTCTCCGCCACGAGGCGGATCAGTAGATCTTTAAAATACTGAAAAAATTTGACGAATACTTGAAAAACGCGGTTTTTCCCTAAAGATTCAAATTTCCATTTATACTCAGTAGCCTTGACAACAGTGACAGTTTCGGTCCTGTATAGAAGTAAATAAACAAATGTAGTCAGTCAGTCTACGGCACAGCCTCGAGCAGACCTGACTATTCAAAAAAAAAAAAAAAAAAAGACTATTCAAAAAAAAAAAAAAAAAAAGACTATTCAACAAAAAAAAAAATAAACAAAAAAAAAAAATTTTTTTTCCAAATCAAAAAGAAAAATATTTCAAATCAAAAGTCTGCAAAAATTCAAAAAAATCAAAAGATTAAAACCTGACTGTTCAAAAAATAAATAAAAAATTCAAAATTCGAAATTAAAAAAAAAATAAGTTAATTATTAAAAAGTGTATTTTTGGCTTTTTATATTTTTGGACTTTTAAACTTTATAAATATTTCAAATCAAAAATCTGCAAAAAAAAAAAAAAAAATCAAAAGATTAAAACCTGACTAATCAAAAATAAATAAAAAAATTCAAAATTCGAAATTAAAAAAAAAAGAAGTTAATTATTAAAAAGTTTATTTTTGGCTTTTTATATTTTTGGACTTTTAAACTTTATAAATAATAATTGTGCGCGTGCGTACAAAAGCTAAATATCTCGAATGTTCAGGTATTTGTTTGTCTCAAACATAAATTTGTGTAAATTATTTATATTTATATTTCTCGATTGTTTTATATGGTTTTGTGCGAGGGCAGTATTACTATTAATAAAAATGCTGCGTCCTAGAAGATCTAATCTTTCCCGGCGGACCCATAATGCAATTAGGCAACGGAATATCGCGAGTCAATTATCTGACGAAGAGCAAGAAATCGCCCAAAAAAGGCTCCGCGTTAGTACTCAGCAAAGAAGGGCCTTAATTCGTGCTTCTCAAAGAGAGGCAGCCCGTGAAATGGCAATAAGAAATGGTTCAAGGATTGATTTGAATCGAGAAGCGTTTCGATATGATTGCACCATTGACTATAGCTTGAATCGTTTAGTTTGCATTGGTCCAATGGACGTTGTTTGCCAGCATTGTGGCGCATTGAAGTTTGCTGGTGAAACGCCCGGTTTGTGCTGCCTTAGTGGTAAAGTGACATTGCCATTAGTGGTCCCGCCACCAGAGCCATTGCGTTCCCTACTTTTCTAGCGAGCACTCAAAAATACAATGCCAGTTTCCAATTCGGGGCAGAGACAAATCCAACAAATCAAAAACCATGAAAATTGGTGCAGCAGATCTCGAATTATAAGTTTTGTAACAAACTACTTTGTTTTATATATATAGAGACTGTTAGGCGGTACGAAGTTCGCCGGGACAACTAGTTTTAAATAAATGGAAATTAAAAACAAGTAAGAAAACTCTAGTCGAGAGTGATCGACTAGATACTACCCTGAACCCAACTAATAATAAAAATGCCCATTTAGTATAGCTAAAATTTTAATTTCGATATATTTAAAAATATAAATGAAATACAAAACTCACTTAATAAAATATAAAAATACTTTGAAACAATTGAAAAAATTAACATCAGTTGCACCACCTGGGATTCGAACCCACGACTTCTCGATCGAGCGCCACGCAGCTACTCACTACGCCACCTCACTTTCGGAAGCTGTGGTGGCAAAACTGAAATAGATTCACTGCTGCAGCGCCATCTAGAAAAACTAAATCAAACTAACTGCTGATGTGATTCTAAGCATCTGCTATAATAGCCAAACTATTAAAAACGCACATTTAGTATGGTTAAAATTATAATTTCGGTGCATTTAAAAATATAAATTAAATAGAAAAGTGATTTATAAAAATATAAAAATATTTTGATACACTTAAAAAAATTAACATCATTTTCGAGGTTGCGCTGGCAAAACTCAAATAGATTCACTGCTGGAGCGTCATCTACCAAAACTAAACCAAACTAACAGCTGATGTGAATGTTCTAGAAGAAGTTTGAATGTATGTGTGCACACGTATACAATGCTGTTGTAGCTACTGCACGTGCGTTTGTTAATAGGCCAAATATTTGATTTTTTTAAATTATTTATTTTTAATTAATTTTTGACTTAACGGAATTTAATGAAACTTTCAGCATATGATCTACATATTATATTGAATATTTTCGAAATTTAAAAAAATGAAGTCATTCACAATTATCTATAGTGGCATCTGACTTGAACTTGAATTTTTTTATTCGATAAAAACATAACGGGATGATTTATCGAATTTTAAAAGCAAACTCGACGTCCGCGCCGTATATACGGTCATTTAAAAAAAAATTCTAGTCTCTAGCTCTTATATCTTCGAAAATCGACGCGTTCAAACAAACTGAAAGACGGACAGACGGACGGACAGACAGACGGACAGGGCCAAATCAACTTATCTCGTCGCCCTAATCAAGAATATACTTTGTGGGGTCTGCCACGCCTCCTTCTGCCTGTTACATACATTTCAAGAATGATTTCAATGATTTCCCATTGAAAATGGGTTCAGGGTATAACAAGTAAGAAAGCTCTAGTCGAGACTGCCCGACTACGAGATCCCCTGAACCCTTCGAGCAATAGTTGTTTCAATCATTTCTCGCGTCTTTCTGCTTACACAAGACACACACACACACACACACACATGCATACACACACACAAACATACACACACATATACACACATCATACACACGCACACACACACACACACACACACACGTACATACACACAAACACATATACCAGCATACAAGCACCCACGCCTAAACACGCATGGACTGCAGTGGTGGCTTACTATGGGAACTTAATTGTTCAATAACTTTTCTTGTGGATGTACTTCCTTTATGAAACTATCAGATTATGATTATAACATGTATTTGCTAAAGCACAAGTCCCTAGTATTTGAAGTACGCCTTTTACAAATGTGAGGGTGAGGGGGTGAATTAGGGGTGGGGGGTAAATTTTGACAAAACCCGACATTGTATAAAATTCATATAAGTATACATTTAAAATTTGGAGACTTTAGCTTTAAAGATGTAGGATATATAAATTTATTACTTGTTTTCGATAATGTTTTTAATCGATAAGAAAATAACGGGACAATTTATCGATATTTAAAGCAAAACTCGATATGTGCGTGCTATACATGGACCTAGTCAAGTCTCTAGCGCTTATATCTTCTGAGATCGACGCGTTCAAACATACGGACATACGGACGGACGGATAGACGGACAGAGCTAAATCGACTCAGCTCGTCGCCCTGATCAAGAATATATATATTCTGCCACTCCTCCTTCTGCCTGTTACATACATTTAACAAATCCATTATACCCTGGTTTCCCATTGAAAATGGGTTCAGTGTATAATAATGAATCAATAGGTAGTTTAACTTTATATACATTTTGGCAAATTTGTTGACAACAGAAGAACAGTGAAGTAATAATAATATTCCCCCTGCAAATCTGATTCGACCAAAGCCGTTCACACATTTTCCAAAGCCCG